TTCTCTCACTTTTTAATTACTCAAGATCACATGCATATATATCACAGACATTCCATGCGTATACCCACTTGTAAACCATATAGTCATCATAATTGATTAATATTCTTCACGACTCTAATTTGGATTTCTTGCAGACATGCCAAAAGCAAAACTAATACACTGTAACTAAATTACAGGTACCAATAAAAGATCAGTCAAAGGTCTAGTTACAATTCATTATATGCTTGCTAGTAATACGTATTACGCATTTAATCGACATTCATTACATCATCTGCATGCTTTTTTCTTCATCATTTGTTAAGCTGACTTTTTTGGCATTGTGATTGGCTAGCCATACAAATGAAACACATGAAAAATTGTGCAACGTTTTCCTAAAGTTGTCGATAGAGTCAACGAGTAAGTTATGAATACAAATGATAGTTAATTTTTTAATGATCGTCCATGTGTTTGAAACAGATAAACCCATTACAACGTGTTTAATAACTATTTTGTGATGCTCGTCACCATTTTAAAATATGAGGTCTTGTGTAAGGAAGGAAGAGATCTATCATAACACGGAGATAATTTTAAAAGTACGACATACCTATCTGAAATGATGATCACTGGCTTGTTTGATCGGCTCCTAAGGGATTATTTGAAACTCAAGCTTGTTTTCTACCAGAACACATGAGCGCCATTTTTCAAATGACTGAAGAGGAAATGCGACTGCGTAATGCAATTGGTCAGCGTAATGTTGTCGGACCTAGTTCCTTTCTTACATCTCATTTACCGAGCGACTGGGATCGGGGTTACGCAAAAAAGTCACAGTAACCCTTTTTGCAATAAATCAATACCAAATTTGAAGGTAACAATTGCAAAATAGTTATGTAAGACTAAGGCTTCGATACGTTGATAAGAGTTCTAAAAATGGTACCAGTCTCCTTCGTCTTCTGTCTGTTAGACGGTCTGAGTGACTCGCTGTCAAAGAAGATAGCGAGAGCGAGTGACCAGACTGACCAAACCGTTTCTTAGAATCATTCTAACATTTATAAAGGTGTGTGCACTGCGACATAATTTTTATCAGGAAATTCTTACAATAGCTTCTTACTAGAATTTTAGGAACTTGCTTGGATGTTATACCTATAGCAATAACAACGTTTCCACACAATGCACATGCACATGCACCTTCGCGATTACACCCTTGTTTCACTGCACAAAGATGTAACCAAATGCTGAAAGATGCTTTATTCCAAATACACCGTTTCCTTTATAATTTCCACATGTATAATTTCCAGTGGAACCAAATCCGATTAGACTTGAAAGCGATGAGTTTCCTGCTACCACTCCGACCCTGACTCTTTGGTTTCCTATGCTAGGATTGAATCCTTGTTTCGGACAAAATTTTTCCAGAGACGAATTCGGCATCAACGACAGCCACTTCTCCAGGGTAAGGTTCGTGTGCCTGGGTTGACCATCAGCGATCAAGCTGTGGAGGCTATGCACGTGCCCGTTATAAACTAGGACCCAGCTTATTGCTTTTCCTGTCTTCATGCCCAAACACAACTTGGTCAGTGAAGTGGT